TCAATCTTTTTTTGTGTTTTTTCTTTAGCTTGGATAATTTCTAAAGATTTCTCTTAAAATTCATTGAGGCTTTCATCTACCATCTCCAACCTGTTATTAAGCCCATGCAACAGATTTTTCAGTACAGATACTGTACTTTTCAGTTCCAAAATGTCCAATTGGCTCTTCTTCAAAGATTCAGAGACTCCGCTAAATTTCCCATGTGTTCGTTCATTAAGACCGCTACTAGGCTGGGTGTGGTAGCTCATGCCTGTAATCCCAGCACTTTGGGAGGCCGAGGCGGGTGGATCACCTGAGGTCAGGAGTTTGAGACCAGCATGGCCAACAATGGCGAAATCCCGTTTCTACTAAAAATACAAAAATTAGCTGGGTGTGGTGGCACACACCTGTAATCCCAGCTGCTTGGGAGGCTGAGGCAGGAAAATCGCTTGAACCCAGCAGGTGGAGGTTGCAGTGAGCCGAGATCTCACCACTGCACTCCAGCCTGGGGGACAGAGTGAGACTCTGTCTCAAAAGAAAAGAAAAAGAAAAAAGAAAAAAAGAGGACTACTTCCCTTGAGCCCTTGTGTGTACCCATAATGGCGGCCTCAAACCCTCTTTTCTCTTTTCTCGGCTATCACAGTCAGTTTCTCATGACCTTTTTAGTTTCCTGTATAGGGATCCTATTTTCCTGTTTCTTTCCCTGTGTAGTAGTTTCTGATTCTAGCTATTATGAAAGATCATAACATCATTGAGAGGTTAATTTTGTCTGCTTCCTTTGGAGAGTGAATGAATGAGTCTGTCTGGTAAGCAGTTGAGCTACTGGAAGACGAACTTGGTCTTTCCAAAAGCTCAATTAGGGTCAGTCTAGAACAGACCTTTTCTAGGGCGAGAGGAACACTCTTCCTAAGATGTGGCCTTTCTGGGGGCATGGGCTGAGTGCCTAGGGTCTTACGCAAGTCGCCTCCGGACTGGCTGATGGGGAGGCTTATCTCCCAGCACTGTGGGACCCTCAGACTCACCACTGAGGTCACCACTCCCTACCTGCCGCTTTCCACCAACCCTCAAAGACTCTCACTCTCCATGTTCATAGCTTAGAACAAACCCAAAAACTTAGGGGAATCCGTGTAGGTTTCTGTGGTGATGTCTCTGTTAGCTCCTTTACTCTGGTGCCTTGCCGCACAAATGTAAGCCACCCTCAACTCTGATCCCTGCCTCCTGAGCTCGGAGACGCCTTGTGTTCTGCTGGGTGCCCTAGCTGAGGTGTACAAGGCGCTCAGGCAGAAGGCTGGGGCTACCAAGGCCACGCTGTATGTATCTCCTTTCCAGGGACAGCAGTCCGGGGCACCTGTGCCACCTGGTATTTCACTTGCTGACGGTTTCATAGTGGGGAGGCTGGTCCTGCACCTGCCACTCCGCCATGGACAGGCATGGAAGCCATGAAGACAAATCTCTTATTTTAAAGTATTGTTTCAATGTGAGACATCCTCTCCCTCAAACTGCCCCTGCCAGTTTGCCCCACTATCCCAGTCCACAGGACCACAGCCACCCCGCGTGGGCAAAGGCCAGATGTCAATTGTGTTCCCCACGTCCGCCCCTGGCCTCCTTGCTGCCTGCTGAAGTCTCGTCCTGTCTACGGCCCCGGCGCCCTGAATGCCCCATCTCTTCTCAAGCGTCATCCCTGCCCCTTTAGTGGGCCCTGATGATTATGGGATGTACTCCTTGGAGTCAAAGAAATACATATCTCTTGTTAGGTTAAAAAAAAATTAGGGGGTTGGGCACCATGGCTCACGCCTGTAATCCCAGCACTTTGGGAGGCCGAGCCAAGTGGATCACTGGAGGTCAGGAGTTCGAGACCAGCCTGACCAACATGGTGAAGCCCCGTCTCTACTAAAAGTACAAAAATTGGCCAGGTGTGGTGCAGGTGCCTATAAGCCCAGCTACTTGGGAGGCAGAGGTGGGAGAGTCACTTCAATCCAGGAAATGGAGGCTGCAGTGACCTGAGTTCACACAACTGCACTCAAGCTTGGGCGACAAGAGCAAGACTCAGTCTCAAAAAAAAAAAAAACAAAAAAAACCCCAGAAAATATTTGGCTGGGCACGGTGGCTCATGCTTGTAATCCTAGCACTTTGGGAGGCTGAGTCAGGAGTATTAAACTTTGAGCCCAGGAGTTCAAGACCAGCCTGGGCAACATAGTGAGACATCCATCTAAAAAATCTAGACATCATCTAAAAAATAAAAAAAATAATAAAAAAAAAATTTAGACATCATCTAAAAAATAAAAATATTAGCCAGGTGTGGTGCTGGGCGCCTGCAGTCCCAGCTATTTGGGAAGCTGCGCAGGGAGCATTGCTTGAGCCCGGGACGTTGAGGCTGCTGTGTGCTGTGACTGCCAGCAGACACACACAGGCTCCTACATGAGAGACGCTCACCCACCTGCCGGGCTCTGGAGAATAATCCCCGTCTAGCCAGGAAGGTAACTGTTGTTTCAGAGGTCAGCTCACAGGCAGGAACCGAGCGCTACGCAGGAGTCAGATACCGCAGACAAAGACACCCAGCATCTGGCTTTTCCCACGCCATTTGGAAGCAGGACACGACCATGACCCGGCTGACAGAGGAGACGCCTAGGGTGGGCTCTCTCAGTGCCTGGCCTTGTGTGACAAGCGCCACCCCTCCCACTACGGGGTCCCTGAACCTTGTGAAATGAAGAGGACGTCACTTTTACCATCAAATATGTCTACGCCTTGTCAGATCCCTTCCCACGTGCTAACACAGAGACACTGGCTGCAACCCAGCCAGGGAGGGCCCCACCCACCCAGTCGGGGCGATGCAGGGGCAGGTGGTGGAAAAGGTATTGCAGGTACTTGTGGAACCTCCTTACATCGAAGTCCTGGAGTCCAAACATGTGTTAATCATCAGTGAGAAATGGAGCACTGAGGGCGGTGTCCCTGGGCCCTGGCGGCCTCCCAGCGTCCCCTCCAGCCCTGGCGCTGCTCTCAGCACTCTTTGAAATGGAGCCGCCATCCCTCCTGCCCAGGAAGGAAGCTCCAAGGGCAGCTCCCTCCACAGGAAGGAGGACCCCTGAGGTGTCCCCACTTTGGTCCAAGTTCCTGGAGAGAATCTTTCCTTCCTTCTGGGGTTGAGACGGTGGGGAAGGGATGGCGGTGCTGCCGTACTGAAGGGCAGCAAAGCAGCCTGCAGGGCCACTGCCAAAGCCAAGTGCAGACGACAGAGCCAGAGCCAGCGTTTTGGAAAAGCTGAAGCGACTTCAGACACTGCAGCAGACGCTGTGCTCAGGGTTCCCGCGTCCTGCAAGGCTGAGTGGCTTTATGTAACACGAAGGCCAGCTCTGAGCAGAGTCAGAGTCCCTCTCTAAAGTCACTTAGAGTTTTATGCAACAGTTATTAAGCTGTGGCGCTCTGTCATAAATGTTGCCAAACCCCTAGATGTTTAAATTTCTAGACCAAGAAGACAGACCCCCAAAGTACCAAAACAAAAACGTGCAAGTCCACGCTGCCACAAGCCACGCTCAGGCGAATGATAAACAGGGAGCAGAGAGAAGCCTCCTGCGCAGGCGGGCTCGCGACTCCTGCAGCCCCCCAGAGGCGGGTGGAACCCCACTCCTCCAGTGAAGCTTGCACAGTGACGTCCTCACCACGAGCGCGGGGGTGAAGGGGAAAAAGCCGCTTCACTGTCCAGATGCCCTACAAGTACAGCCCCCACCAGGCCACCCTCGCAGAGACGGCTCAGGCCAATGACATGTGTAGGGGACGTGCGTCACAGGGGCTGAGGCTTCAGGGGCAAACCACAAACAGCCATATGCATTGCACGTGCCCCAGCCCTGCGCACTCCCGTGAGAGCGCCTGACCCCAGCACACCACTTCAGCCTGTGCTGACAGCTCATGGGCCCTCGGCAAAGTCAGGCCTGTGTGCTGTGGAGGGGCCCCGAGGCGGAGCCACGTCGTGGATGCGCAAGGCGTCCCCAGGCCTCCTGCCCTGCCCTGGTGACACTGTCTGACCTGCTTGTTGAATGAGGTGACACACTCAAGTGTAGCTGAGACCTGAGGAAACACCAGCAACTGGACCTGGCAGCGGTGCCCATGCCAGCACAGCCACACAGTGGGGACCCTCCCTACAGGTGCCCCGATGCCAGCTGCAGCCCTCCCTGCATGAGCCTGCAGGGCCTGGGCTGTGCTGCCAAGCCCAGATCACAGCGACCCGAGCCTCCGACCGGGGAACACCAGAGCCACAGGAGCTGGGCTGGAGCCACAGCATTCAGGCTCCCGGAAGCACAGCCGGCCCCAGACACTCCAACCTCAGCTCAGCCGTGCTGACCAGGATGGAAAACACAGGCCCCAAAGCCCAAGGCTGAGCCCTGCCTGCGCCAACTCACCATCGCAGCCTTCCATCCTGGGACAGGGTCCTGGTTCCGACCACTCAGCCCTGAGCTGGCCACCTCCTGTCTCCCGCCCACAAAAGACACAAGAGCCGTCCTCAGTCTCCATGCAAAGCCCGGCTGCCCCATTGAGAGTGGAACCAAGCTGGGCACGCAAGAGCCAGCGCACTCCCTGCTTCCTACATGTCCACACAGACACCCACCCCAAACCAGCCTCCAACACACCTACACAGTCACGGACCCCAAACCAGCCTCCGACACGTCCACACAGACACGGACCCCAAACCAGCCTCCTATATGTCCACACAGACACAGACCCCAAACCAGCCTCCTATATGCTTTTGCCTCCCTTTCTCTGTGCCTCTGGCTCCAGCAGGATGGCAATGCAGTCCTTTAAGTAAAGACGTGCTACTGCAAAGAGGTGGGGTTTTAACCCTGAGGATGGGTGGCGGCTGTGGCTGGTGGACTGGCTGCTCTGAGGTAGCCTCAGTAAAATGATGATACCCTCCTGAATGAATTTAAGATGAATGCTCGTCCAGTCTTTCCAAGTGCCAGGAGACCTGCGGCGTGTGTGCTAAGTGACAGCAAGCCCTGCGGTCCCACTGCCGTGTTCCTCCTACTCACCAGACATGGCCCACATTGACCAGGGACATGTAGAGGCCCCACAGGGCAGCCATGAGAAGCATGTTGGCGCAGCCCGTGATCAGGACGAAGGACGAGATGCCCAGTCCGAGAAGAGCGAGCGAGTCCAGGGTGGAGTTCATGTCTGACCAGTCCGTCAGCCAGAGGATGGTGGGCATGTAGCTGAAGACTTCCCAGCTCGTCTTGTCCTGGAAGTACTGCCGGAAATTATTCAGGAGCACTCGGCAGGGCAGCAGCCCCCTGTCACCGATCAGCTGCTTGTTCTGATGGAAAGCCACCAGGAATGCCACGACTGGAAGGACAGGAAGACAAAACAAGCGTGACTAGGAACAAACCACATGTGGACACCGTGGGTGTGGCTCAGACTTGCCGGGTGAGGCGGGGAGGGAAGGGGAGGCACAGTCTGGCCAACAGCTTGGGGTCCAAACCCCAGACTCAGGAGTTTGAGTACTTTCTCAAAATCTTGGGGGAAATATGGGAAAACCCAGCCTGCATCAGACGCAGGGTGTGTATACACGCACACACACGGAAGCAAGCAGCGTGTGTACATGCACACACATGGATACAAGCAGTGTATGTATACACGCATACACACAGACTCAATCAGTGTGCAAACAGTGTGTGTATACATGCACCCACACGGACGCAAGCAGCGTGCATATACACGCATACACACGGACTCAAGCAGTGTGCAAGCAGGGTGTGCATACACGCACACAGGGACGCAAACTAGACATGTGTATATAAAAGGTGTGCCTGGCTGCACACAGTCGGCTGACCATCCAGACTGCACTCTGCGTTCCCCATTATGAAACACACCCTGATGACCCCGGCTCTGGACAATGGCGTCACTCCCAGCACACGCTGCAGGGCTGGCTCTGGACAATGGCGTCACTCCCAGCACACGCTGCACGGGCTGGCTCTGGACAATGGCGTCACTCCCAGCACACGCTGCAGGGCTGGCTCTGGACAATGGCGTCACTCCCAGCACACGCTGCAGGGCTTGACACTTACAGCCCACAGGTGGGCCACGCTTACCCTCCACACAAACCCCACAACGGCACTCTCACATCCACAGGTCTCCGAGTCCATGTCTCATGGTGCCCACCCCACACCGGCTCTCTCACATCCTCTGGACGTCAGCGTTTGTAGAACACTGAATATTTACCCAGAGATGACGACAGGCGAGAGAACCACACTCCCATGTGTAAACGTGAAGAATGAAAAAGTAGGTTAAAAGTAAAAAAGATACACCATGCAATGTGAATCAAAAGAAAGCTGGATCTAGTTCACTATGGCTGAAAAAAATTAAAAATAAAAATAAGAAAATAAACAAAAGAAAGCCGAAGTGGCTCTACTAACATCATAAAAAGTAGATTTAAGAGCTGGGTACGGTGGCTCGCGCCCCTAATCCCAGCACTTTGGGAGGCCAAGGCAGGCGGATCACCTGAGGTCAGGAGTTTGAGACCAGCCTGGGCAACATGGCAAAACCCTGCCTCTACTAACAACACAAAAATTAGCTGGGCGTGGTCTTGCATGCCTGTAGTCCCAGCTACTCGGGAGGCTGAGGCAGGAGAATGGCTTGAACCTGAGAGGCGGAGGTTGCTGTGAGCCAAGATCACACCACTGCACTCCAGCCTGGGCGACAAGAGCAAAACTCCATCTCAAAAAAAAAAAAAAAAAAAAAGTAGATTTAAGGGCTGGGTACAGTGGCTTATGCCTGTAATTCCAGCACTTTGGGAGGCCAAGGCAGGTGGATCACCTGAAGTCAGGAGTTTAAGACCAGCCTGGCCAACATGGCAAAACCCTGTCTCTACTAAAAATACAAAAACTAGTTGGGTGTGGTGGTGCACCCCAGTAGTCCCACCTACTTGGGAGGCTGAGGCAGGAGAATCACTTGAACCCAGAGGGCTGCAGCGAGCCGAGATGGCGCCATTGCACTCCAGCTTGGGCAACAGAGACTGTCTCAAAAGGAAAAAAGTCGATTTATGAACAAGGAATGACACAGGGATGAAAGAAGATATTGCACAATGATAAAAATACCACAAGAGCAACCCCAGAAGTACATGCGGCTTCCCACTGCGTGTCGGGAGCTGGCTTGGGGTCCGCGTCTGTGACTGTGCGTGCTGGTTTGGAGTGCTGTCTGTGTAGACAGGGAGGAAGCTAGTGCACGTACTTTTCACCATGCGTTTATAAATCTAAAAAAGTATAAATGGAATCTGCACATGGAAAACTACAAAACACTGATATAAAAACTGAAACAAGATCTAACTACACGAAGAGACAGACCATGTTTATGGATTGGAAGAATCAAAAGCATTAAGGTGTCAATTTGATCCATAAATTCAGCGCAATCTGAACCAAAACACCCAGTCAGTGCTTCTGCCGAGGCTGACAAGCCGATTCTAGAATGTATATGGGAGGGCAAAGGGACTAAAATAGCCAGAATCATTTGGAAAAGAACAGAGGTGGAGGACTCACGTTACCCAGTTTCAAGACTTACTAAGAAGCTAATCAAGACCACATGAAGCCGGGCGCGGTGGCTCAAGCCTGTAATCCCAGCACTTTGGGAGGACGAGACGGGTGGATCACGATGTCAGGAGAACGAGACCATCCTGGCTAACATGGTGAAACCCCGTCTCTACTGAAAAAATACAAAAAAACCTAGCCGGGAGTGGTGGCGGGCGCCTGTAGTCCCAGCTACTCGGGAGGCTGAGGCAGGAGAATGGCGTAAACCCAGGAGGCGGAGCTTGCAGTGAGCTGAGATCCGGCCACTGCACTCCAGCCTGGGCGACAGAGCCAGACTCCATCTCAAAAAAATAAAAGAAAAAAAAAAAAAGACCACATAAAGACAGCACAGCACTGATTAAAGAAGAGCCACAGAACTCAGGGGAATGAAGACAGGGCCCAGACATAGCCGCCGCTGTCCCAACCCAACACACAGAGTGAACAATGCTGACAAAGGTTCAAAGGTCACTCCACAGACAAAGAGCAGCTTTGGGCCGGGCGCAGTGGCTCACACCTGCCATCCCAGCACTTCGGGAGGCTGAGGCCTTGGGCCGGGCGCGGTGGCTCACACCTGCCATCCCAGCACTTTGAGAGGCCGAGGCAGGAGGATCGCTTGAGCCCAGGAGTTCCAGAGCAGCCTGGGCAACAAGGTGAGACCCAGTCTCTACAAAGTAAATAAAAAAACAAAGACTAGTCCTTTTTTTTTTTTTTTTTTTTTGAGATGGAGTTTTGCTCTTGTCGCCCAGGCTGGAGTGCAGTGGCCGGATCTCAGCTCACTGCAAGCTCCGCCTCCTGGGTTTACGCCATTCTCCTGCCTCAGCCTCCCAAGTAGGTGGGACTACTGGGGTGCACCACCACACCCAACTAGTTTTTGTATTTTTAGTAGAGACGCGGTTTCACCGTGTTAACCAGGATGGTCTCGATCTCCTGACCTTGTGATCCGCCCACCTCGGCCTCCCAAAGTGCTGGGATTACAGGCGTGAGCCACCGCGCCTGGCCAAAATGAAAAACTTTTGATCTGCAAAAGCTACTTTTTGGTATATATATATATATTTTTTTAGTAGAGACGGGGTTTCACCTTGTTAGCCAGTATGGTCTCGATCTCCTGACCTCATGATCTGCCCGTCTCGGCCTCCCAAAGTGCTGGGATTACAGGCTTGAGCCACCGCGCCCGGTCAAAAGCTACTTTTAACAGAATGAAAACACAAGCCACAGATTAGAAGAAAATACTGGCAAATCACACATCTGATAAAGGATTTGTATCCAGAATATTTAAAGAACTTTTAAAATTCGATAATTAGAAAACAAACAACTTAACGTTAAAGGTGTGAAGAAAAACACCAGGCCACAAGATCTGAACAGACACAGGAAAGGTGCACGGTTGGCAAATAACACGTAAAAAGATGCTCAACATCATTCATCATTGGGGAAATGCCAATGAAAACCACAACGTGCTGTCACCACACACGCGTCACTGTGGCCAAAGTGTTTGAAAATGGACAGTGCCCAGGCCGGGTGCGGGGGCTCACATCTGTAATCCCAGCACTTTGGGAGGCCGAGGCGGGCCGATCACCTGAGGTCAGGAGTTCAAGACCAGCCTGGCCAACATGGTGAAACTCCATCTCTACTAAAAATATAAAAACTAGCCGGGTGTATTGGTGGGCGCCTGTAATCCCAGCTACTCGGGAGGCTGAGGCAGGAGAATTGCTTGAACCCAGGAGGCGGAGGTTGGAGTGAGCCGACACAGTGCCACTGCACTCCAGCCTCGTCGACAGAGTAAGACTCTATCTCAAAAAAAAAGAAAAGAAAAGGAAAGAAAATGGACAGTGCCTAATGCTGTGGAAGGTTCGGGACAGCAGGAGTGCCCTCGCTGTGCTGGGGATGCTGTGGCATACTGCTGTGGACGGCAGACGGTGGCGTCTGACCCAGGTAATGAAGGGTTACCTTACAACCCAGCTACTGCGCCTCTCAGGCCTTCAACCTGAAAACGTGCTCACACAGAAGCCTCGTGCAGATGCTCGTAGCAGCTCTGTTCATAGTCACTAAAAACTAGAAACAAGGACGACGTCTTTCACGGTGGAAGTGGATAAATAACCAGAGGTGTATTTGTGCAACAGAAAAATAATCAGAGGTAAGAATGCAGGAGCTGTTGGTTCAGGCAACAACACGGATGAATCTTAAGTGCATTATGCTAAGTAAGAGAATCTAGACCCAACAGGCTACGTACTGCATGATTCCATTCATATGGAATGGAAAAGGCAAAATCACAGGGATGGGAGACGGACCCGGACGTGCCAGGGGCTGGTGCGGGGGACGTGGTCACTCCCATGCACGCGGACTTAGGGGCTGGAGCTGCGGTGATGGAGCAAAGCCCACAGCACTGAGCATGACACCAGATGAACTTTAATGCGCACAAACTACTGGGGGAAGACCCAACCAGGAGGTCAGCGGATGCAGACGGAATGCAGGCTCCACACACACGAACGTAAATCAGAACCACACTGGCCAGAGGGCAGGAGCTGCCTAAGCAACTCCGGAAAATGTTCTGAGTGGCGACCGCAAGGCCAGAAGGAGCCATACACAAACACCGCGCTCCAGGGCTTTTCCCCCTGGCCTGGGAGGACAATCCTCACTCGTGCACCAGGACTGAGCAGACGCTAGATGAGTTGGGGGAGCCAGGTTCTCACGAGCAGAGAGGGAGGATTCACATGGGCCAGGAGGGAAGACTGGAACACACCGTGCGTCAGGACAGACAGCTGAAACACACTGTGTGCCAGGTGAGAGCCAGAGTGATTGGTATGGACCAGGTTCACCTTCGTATACTGACGGATGGATGGGTGGATACAACAGAGAAGCAACCCCATGTGTGAAATGAGACAGTGACATACAGAGCCTAGCTCTGCCCAGCAAGAGGGCCAGCAGCCATGAGACCCCGGGAGCAACGGCCCTCCCAGTACCCAGATCAGAGTTTCTGTGCTCCCCGAAAGAGAACCAGGGCTCCTTGGAGAAACAGCTCATTCTAGGGCTGGGGCAGAGACACAGAAGCTGGGCCTGAAGCATCCCTGCGGGGAAGGACAGGAAAGTCACCAGTGGTCAAAGCTGGAGAAGGTGAGCAGCAAACTCACAGTCACAGCACTGGAATACAACCCGGACACAGACTCACGGTGACAATACTGGATCACAACTTCGACACAGACTCACAGTGACAGCACTGGAATACAACCCGGACACAGACTCACAGTGACAGCACAGGAATACAACCCGGACACAGACTCATGGTGACAACACCGCATCACAACCCGGATACAGACTCACAGTGACAATACTGGATCACAACCCACCACATCACAACCCAGAC